GCCGCTGCCAGCCGCGTTGCCATGGAGACGGCGTCACTTTCCGGCGGCGTTGTCGTTAACGGCGCTGCTTTTCGGCGGCGTTGCCGTGGCAGCGGGCAGTCTAAAATGGAATTGACATTGGACTGGATATCTAGAGATCTCTTCCATCCCCTACAGTTCTGTAACGTGAGAGGACAAAAAGGTGCGGGGATAGAGTTTTAATGGCAGGGGAAAGAGCTGAGGAAGGCTAAAATGAGAGGTAGAAAGTGGACATAGGCAAAAATGGAGAGGTTAAAGGAGAGGCTAAACTAATTGGTTAAAGTGGAGGAAGGGGCTACAGAGGGAGAACAGGATGGTGGGGACAGAATTGGGGAGCAAAAGAAGGTGGGAATGACATGGTCTTAAAATGGGGGAACGCTCCCATGTAACACTCCCATACAACTCCCCATATGCTCCTCACTTTATGTCCTTGTGACCCCTTCTACCCCATAACCACCCTACATCCCCCTCTTTGACCTCATGACCACCCCACCCCATGACACCTAAGAAGTCCCATGACTCCCATTGGGCCCCCTTGCACCCCATGACCTAACCAGTTCCTCACCCCGTTCCTCCACCCCTCCACCCCATTAACTCCAGATCCTACTTCTCTGGCCCTCTCATAGACCCTGCCTCCCCCCTGCCCCAGGTGTGCCCATGTCCCCATTGTCCTCTGTATCCCCCATACCCGTGTGCCCCATGTCCTCTATGCCATAAAATCACAGAATGGCTCAGGTTGGAAATAATGTCCTTACCCCACTCCTGCTGTGTGCTGGTTTCCTCCCCAGCTCAGGCTGCCTGGGACCCATCATGGCCTGGAGCACCTCCAGGGATGGGGCACACACAGCTCCAGGCAGCAGTGTCTGGAGCGCCTCACCACCCTCGGTGAAGAAATTCCTTCTCACATCTATCTAAATCTCCCCTCTTTTAGTTTAAATCTGTTACCTCTTGTCATCTAACTATGTTCCCTGATAAAGAATCCCTTCTCAGCTCTCCTGTATGCCCTGTTAAGTGCTGGAAGGCTGCAGTGAGGTCTCCTCTCTTCTCCAGGCAGAACAGCCCCAGCTCCCTCAGCCTGGCTCCACAGTAGAGGTGCTCCATCCCCCTAAGCATCCTCGTGCCCTCCTCTGGACCCGCTCCAACAGCCCCACGTCTTTCTTGTGCTGGGGGCCCCAGGCCTGGACGCAGGACTCCAGGTGGGGCCTCACGAGGGCAGAGCAGAGGGGGACAGTCCCCTCCCTGCCCGCTGCCACCCCTCTGCTGATGCAGCCCAGGCTGCTGGCGGCTTTCCGGCTGCACACTGCTGTTGTCTTCCATCCACCAGGACCCTCATGTCCTTCTCCACACTCTCTGACTTCTCCCAGTCCGTATACAAATCTGGAATTGCCCCCACCCAAATGCAGCACCTTGCACTTGGCTTTGTTACGTGGGCCCACGTTTTGAGTTTGTGAAGGTCCTTGTGGATGGCATCCCTCCCTTCTGTTCTATCAGCTGCACCACTCAGCTTGGTGTCATCTGCAAACTTGCTGAGGGTGCACTTAGTATCATCTGTGTCACTGATAACAGTGTTAGAATACAGGTCCCACAACTGCAGCGTGTGGGACACCACTCATCCCTGCCTCCACCTGGCACAGACATTGACCACAGCCTTCCAGCTGTGACCTTCCAACCAATTCCTATCCACCAAACATCCCACTCCTCAAACCCATATCTCTCCAACTTAGAGATAAGGATGTGGTGGGGCACCATGTCAACGGCTTCGCAGAAGTCCAGGTAGGTGATACCAGCTGCCCTCCCTTTGCCCACCAATGCCATCACTCCATCACTGAAGGCCACCAGGAGGGTCAGCCATGCTCTGGCCTTGTTGAAGCTGTGCCTGGGGTCACCTCGTCTCCCTTGTGCCTTAACATCTCCTCCGTGGTCTTCCTAGGCACAGAGCTGAGGCTTTAAGATTTTCTGATTGTAGCTTCCTTTTGCGTTAGATTGGGCTTGCAGCCATCAGCAGCTGGCTTTGTTTTATGCAGTTATCGCCTTTCCTTTTGTTTGATTATTTTATCCCTATGAGGGAATTAATTGCTGAATTAGCAAAACTGTGGTTTTATGTTGTATCCATTTTAGGGTTTTACCAATTCTGTCATTTTCCATAATAAACAATTTACAAACTTCTTGTGAGTTTTCCTCATCTTACACCATTTCTTATCATGATAATGATAAAAATAATTACATATAATGATATAATTTGTTTGTTTTTTTCCTACTAATTTTTTTCTCAAGGTCTGGTTTGTGGCATTTTGAAGGGGTTTGGGGTCCTAATTTGCTCAAAACAAATAAATAAAATAAGGTAATTAGGGGAAAATTGGGAGAATATAGGTTTTTTCTTTGTAAATTAGTAGAGTATTGGGGGGAAAATGGAAAATTAAATAAAAAAGGAAATTTGGAGGGGAAGTGGGTGAAATTTGAGGGGAAGTAGTGGAAATAAGAGCAAATAAGAGCAAAACCAGGTGGAATTGGGAAAAGTGGGGGAAATAAGGGTAATATTGGGAGAACTTTGGGGAAGATAAGGGTAAATTGGTTGAAAATAAAAGAAAAATGTAGAGGAAATTAAGAAGAAATGGGGGGAAACAAGGAAATTAGGAGAAAAAGGGGGAAAATGAGTGAAATTGGAAGGAAATTTGGGGAAGAACCGGGGAAATAAGGAAAAATGCAGTAAATTAGTGTAAAATGAAGGAAAACCTGGGGAAATGCGGCGGAAGGTGTAGAAACTTACAGGGAAAACAAGCAGGGAGGTGGGCACGCCAGGGGTGTCCATTGTGGCCGTATAAGGGCAGCAGCTGCTTGGCTTGGGGGGAGGAGTCCTAAAAATAGCCCACAGGGACAGGGACAAGGACAAAGCCCAGCCCTTCCCTACCTCACTTGTCCTTTGTCCATCCGCGGTCCTTTCGCCTGCCGTCAACCATCCCGTAATAGCCGGAGGGAGGGGGTGGGGGGGGGGGCGGGGCGGGGAAAATTTAGTGCATGGGCTTTGTCCTTGCCCCTGTGGGTCCTATGGGACTTGAGAGGCTATAGATCCCACAGAGTTCTGTGGCATTCCATAGAGTCTTATAGGGTCCTATGGGCCGGGAGGGGGGGATCCTGTGGGATCCTATAGGAACCCATAGTTCCTATGGGTTGCTATGGGACTTGAGGAGCCCCTGAGGGATCCCGTGGGCTCTATAAGGTCCTATACGGCTCTGTGGGGCTAGGTAGGGGGGTGTGGTGGTGCTGGGGAGGTCTTATAGGATCCAGCAGGATCCTAAGAGGAGCTATGTGGTCAGGGGAAGCTAAGGGATTGTATGGGATAGGGGGCTCATATGAGGTCCAGGGGGGTTCTGTGGAGTTTCTATAGGGCAGAGGGTCCCTAGGAAGCAGGGAGATCCCTGTGTGGTCCTATAGAACTGGAGGTCTCCCTATGGGGCAGGGGGGTCTGAGGAAGGAGGTGGATGGCAAATCCTGTCTGGCCACACCCCCTAGATGATGTATAACTTTTTTGGGAAGTGGGGGGGGGGGGAGATAAAAGATGTCCCCGTAATCAGAAGCAGCAGAGCCTGGGCAGGTGGGAGTTGGGAATGGGGAGCACTGGAAGGGGACTGAGCTTGTCTATAGGGGAACTGCAAAGGAATGGGAGAAACTAAGAGGAACTGGGAGGGTCAATAGGGAGAATGGGAGGGACTGGGTGGGACTGGGAGGGGATATGAGGAAACTGGGAAGGACTGGGATGGAAGTGGGAGCACTGGGGGTGTCTATAGGGGGATAGTGGGAGGAGATATGGGGGGATATGGAGGAACCAAGAGGGGGGTGGCAGGGAACTAGGAGTGGATATGGGAGGGTATGGAGAAACTGGGAGGGGATTGGGAGGGTCCGTAGGTGAACTGGGTTGGGACTGGAATATACTGGGATACACTGGTGAGTTCATGCTGTTTTCTGGACCTGGATTCACTGAATGAGGACAAAAAGTGAGGGAGGGACTGCAAGCACTGGTGTCCAACTAGTGTCCAGCTAGTGTCTTACTGGTCTTGATAACATTGTGGTGCCTTACTGGTTCCTTACATGTGTCTTCCTAGTGCCTTACTGATGTTAGTGTTGCTAATCTTACTGGGATTAGTAGTACTGGTATCTTACTGCTGTCCTTCTGGTACCTTCATGGTGTCCTACTGGTATTAATAGTGTCCCACTGGTGCCTTACAGTTTTAATAGTGTCTTAGTGGTGTCTTACTAGTGTTCTGCTGATCTCAGTAGTGTCATAGTGGTGTCCTACTAGTCTTAGTGGTGTTTTACTGGTCTTAATGGTGTCCTACTAGAGCTTTAGTAGTGTTTGTGTTGCTGGTGCCTTACTGGTTTAGGTACCAACTTAATGGTGTCCAAATGGTGCCTTGGTGGTGTTAGTTGAACTGGTTTCTTATTTGTGACTGATGCCTTACTGGTGTCACTGGTGCACAGGCCACCATACCAGCCCTACCTCCAAGCTGGCCAAGTTCTTGGAGGCCACACAGTGCCCATGGATGTCAGAGCAGGAGCACTTGGCAGTGCAGACATGGCCCTTCAACCTCAAGCACGACATCTCCATCCCTGACAAGCATGAGAAGCTCATCAAGGCCACTATCGTATCCTGCAACAGCACCAAGGTCACCATGCAGACCGAGCATGGGCAAGGTGGGCTGCCAAAAATGGTGAAAATTGGCTCTTAAATGGTCCAAATTACCCCCAGAATAACATCTAGATTCATCCCAAAATGGTTTCTGGAGTCACCCCAAAAAGGTGGCCCATATTGCCCTCAAAATTGCCCAAATTACTCCCCAAATGGCCTACATTGCCCAGAAAAATGGCAGCTAGACTCATCTCAAAATGGCCCAGATCATTCTCAAAATTGTGGTTGGAGTCATCCCAAAATGGCAGCCTGAATTACCCCCAAGATGGTCCAAATCACCCTCAAAATGATGCAAATAGCCCCCAAACAGTGGGTGGAATCGGCCCAAAATGGTGTCCACTCATCAAAAAATGGCTGCACAAATCACTCTCAAGTGCCTATGTTACCCCTAAAGGCCCAAAGTCAGCCCCAGATATCTCCTTCATGGCCCATGGGACTCTAAGATCCCAAACAGCTCCACCATCACCCATAGAACACCTAGCCCCCAAGTCTTCTTCTCCAGAAGTCCAATTGAACACCTAGATCCCAAAACACCTTCTATACCACCAACTGACACTGAGAACCCAAATACCTCTTCCATCACCCATGGGACATCTGGAACCCAAAATACCTTCTCCATCACCCAAGGGCCAACTATAATCCAAGCCATATTCTCCAAAATCCTATAGGACACCTAGACCTCAAATACAACATCCATCACCTTTGGGCACGTAGAACCCCAAATACCTTCTCTGAAATCCCCAGGACATTCTGGCCCTGTAGTGACCCTATATGCACATTATGTCTTTCTCCCTAAGCAGATGGTGACAGTCAAGGAGGACCAAATCATGCAGCAGAACCCCCTGAAATCTGACTTCATCGAGGACATGGCCATGGTGACATTACTCCACGAGACTATTGTCCTCTACAACCTCAAGGAGTGCTTTGCCTCCTGGATGATCTGCATGTGTCTTCCAAATAGCCTCTTGAGTGGCCCCACAGCTTACAGGGCAGCCCCAACATCTGTAGGGTGACCCCACATACTGTAGGGTAGAAGGAATTTGGTGACTTCTCCATGAAGATCTGGGTGGTCACCTTGTGCCTGTAGGACTTGAGGCATATAGAATATGGTGGTTTTCCTCCAGAGTTCTTCGGTCACCTAGAACTGGGATGTCCCATCTCCAGTCCCATTGGCCCACCTAGAACAGACACATCCCATCTGAAGACCTTTTGGGCTGCCTAGAACCAAGGATATTACCTGGTGTCCCTGACCCACATCCCCTTCTCCAGACCTACTTGGGGCCATTCTAAATTGCCATCAAGCCATTCAAGTAGCTGCTTCTCTACAGTGCTGAGCTGGTGGCTGCCTAATGGGGCAAGAAGCAGAGCAAAGCTCTTCCTTATGTCTTCTCCATCTTGAATAGCATCTACCAGAATACACTGATGGGTAGGGACTTCCTCTGGGACATCCCCAACTCCATAACCTTGTCCCCACCCCTTTAGGGCTTGGTTTATGGGGCAAGTGGCAGAGCTTTGGGGCCTGATGTCATCCTTCTTGTCTCACCAGATCAGGAGAACCCATCCATCCTTACTGTGTGAATCCAACCCCGTGCTTGTAGGTTTAACCTCACCCTCAGACCTCCTTATCCAGGTGGGGAAGATGGACAACATCAAGAGAGTATCTTGCCATCATCACTGCCATTGGCAACCATGCAAAGAAGGACACAAGGACATGGGCAAGGTGAGAACACCAAGGGGACATCTCAGGTTCTGGCCACCACTTGGCTATCCGTCCATCCATCCATTTGCCATCTTTACTCCCACTGATCGCCAACCAAGGGACTCTGGAGTACCAAATCATCCAAATCAACCCCCCCTTGGATGCCTTTGGTGATGCCAAGACTGTCTGCAATGACAACTCATCATGATTAATGAGTGGTGAGGATATAGGCGGGGCTGATGTCACCCTTGCAACATGATGTTGAGATCCTTTTTAAGGAACTTGATCTGGATCCACCTTGGGGCCACGAGGAAGTTGATGTCATAGAGTCACAGAATCATAGAATCATAGAATCACTCAGGTTGGAAAAGACCTTAAAGATCATTGAGTCCAACCACAACCTAACTAAACTACCCTAACTCTAACAACCTTCCACTAAATCACGTCCCTGAGAATCACATCCAAATGGTTTTTAAACACATCCGTGGATGGTGACTCAACCACGTCCCTGGGGTTCCTATTCCAGTGCTTAACAACTCTGTCTGTAAAGTTTTTCTTGATATCCAACCTAAACTTACCCTGGTGCAACCTGAGGCCGTTTCCCCTCATCTTGTCATCAGTGAGAAGAGACCAGCCCCGCTCTGCTGTAAGCACTTTTCGGGTATTTGAAGAGATTAGTAAGGTCTCCCCTCAGCTTTCTCTTTCCCAGACTAAACAGCCTCAGTTCCTTCAGTTGCTCCTCGTAGGCCATACTCTCCAAGCCCTTCCCCAGCCTTGTTGCCCTTCTTTGGATCTGCTCCAACACCTCAATGTCTTTTTTGTATTGAGATGCCCAAAACTGAACACAGCACTCAAGGTGAGGCCTCACCAGTGCTGAGTTCATTTGAAGGCTGAAAGGGTCTACCACATCTTCTACCAGATCCTCTCCAACAAGAAGCCTGAGCTTCTGGGTGAGATTCTCTCTCATTCTACTGGTAGATGAACATCACCAAAATGATGGCTGTCTCAACTCCCTTGTCTCCTTGCAGACACGATGCTGGTGACCAACAACCCTATGACTATGTATTATCTCTCAAGAAGAGACCTTGAGGTCCCTTCCAACTGGAGCCATTCTGTGATTTCTATGATTCTGTGACCCTACAGTAGGTGTTGAATTGACTAGGTTGATCCTGTTGGATGGTATGTTGACACCATAGGGTATTCAGTTGACTTTGTTGATCCCATTGAGCACTCTGTTGGCCCCATTGGGTCTCAAGTTGACTTCACTGATCCCTTTGGATATCACATTGAACCTACTGCATCTCCACTAGAATCTATTAACCCCACTGGGCATTATGTTATGTCAGTTGGACCTCATGTTAACTCTAGATTCCACTGAGAATTGTGCAGACCACATTGAGGGTTGAGTTGATGCCACTGATCCCATTGGGTGTTCTGGTGATCCCCATGGATGTTCAGACGACCCTATTAATATTAGTGAATTCGGTTGACTCCAGTGACCTCATTGGGCATCACATCAACTTCTCTGTCTGGCCCTTCTCTCCCCAGTTCAACAGCTTTGAGCAGCTCTGCATCATCTTCACCAACAAGAAGCTGCAGCAGTTCTTCAATCACCACATGTTTGTGCTGGAGCAGGAAGAGTACAAGAAGGAGGGCATTGAGTGGGAGTTCATTGATTTTGGCATGGACCTCCAGGCCTGCATTGATCTCATCGAGAAGGTACTGCCTCTCCCCGGGCATTTTGGGGTGCTTTTCTATTTGGAGCTTGCCAGGGACCTCAAAAGTGGTCACTTGGGTGGTGCTTGGTGTACTCTATGGCCAACGAGGTCCTCTCCTTGGCAGCCCATGGGGATCATGTCCATCCTGGAGGAGGAGTGCATGTTCCCCAAGCTTCAGACCTGATCTTCAAGGCCAAACTTTGGTGTGAGGAGGGAAAAATGTGAAGGGATAAACTGAAGAGAATGGAGAAAATGGAGAAAGGAGGGGAGAAATTGGAAAAACTAGAAAAAATGATGGATGGGTGGAGAAACTGTAGAAATCAGAGAAATTTGAGAAATCGATTGATGGATGGAGATACTGGATAAAGATTCAGGTGGAAGAATTGGAGAAAGGGATGGTTGAGAAGACGGATGAATGGAAGAATAGAGATGGATAGCTGGGTTGAGGACAGAGAATGGGGAAGCGTGGATGGACAGAATGATGCTGAGATGGCTGCAAGGATGATAGGACTGAGGGAGAAAGAAGATGGATGGGTGGGAAAGAGTAGATGAAGGATTGCTGGTAGACAGAAAAAGCCTGGGTGGATGGATGCATGGTGGATGGATTTTTGGACCAGTGGATGGATAGATGATAAGATGATAGATGATAAGCTGCCAAGATGGCCACTGCCTCACCCCACAGGGAGAGCAGGCCAACTCCAACCTGGCCAAGTTCTGCAAGGCGCAGCACGAGCTGGATGAGGCAGAGGAACGTGCCAACATAGCTCAAACCCTGACCCCTGTCCAATACCTTTTGTATCCCCAGAGTCCCATGCTTTCAGTCAATAAATATCTTCAAGAAGCTGCAGCTGCTTGTGTGGGGTAAAGTATGGTGTGGGGTAAAGTATGGTGTGGGGAAGTGCTTTGTGTGGGGCAGGGCTTTGTGTGATGCTGCCCCATGGCGCAGCGGGGTTGTAGTGGGAGACACAGGAGATTGAATGTGGTCAAGAGCACCAGATCGCCTCCCAGATTATCTTGCAGTGCTGTTTGAGCGGCCTCATGTGAACCTCAACTGGCTGTGTAGCTCTATAGGGTGCTACAGAGCATTATGCATCCCTATAGGTTTCTCTGTGTCCCTATTGGTCCCCTGTTGGTCCCTATGTGTCTCTATGGGGTCTCTTTGGTTTTCTATGGGTCTTGTGGGTCCCCATCCCCCACTGACCACCACCGTGGCCCCACCCCCAGGAATTTGTCACTTGCCAAGGACAAAGAGGAGACAAAGAGGCAGAGGTGGGGCTGGGCGATAAGGAGGCCAGAAATAGCCCCATCCCTGCCCCCCTGTCAGCAGTGAGAGGTGGCAGACACGGTGTGTTCCAGAGATCCGCAGGGACCCTTAAAACCTCATTGCTCCCCATAGAGCCCCATGGGGTCCCATACGCACCCAGAGTGAGAGCTAAGAGGCAGAGCTTGTGGGGCAGAGCTTGCTCCCTGTGTCTCTTGTAGGGCTTACAGCAGGTTCTATGGGGCAGAGCCTGTTGGTCTAGGCTTTGGGTACAAGGTGAGCATAGTGGGGCAGAGCCTACGGGGCAGATAAAGTTCTGTGGAGCAGAGTTTATAGGTAGAGCAGAAGCTTATGGGGCAGGGCTTATAAGGCACAGCTGTGGGGCACAGTGTGGGAATAGAGGGCAGAATGGGATTGACAGGGAGTTGTGGAGCTGTAGGGAAGGATGGGATCTATGGGGCAGAGGCAGTTCTATGTGAGAGAAGGAGAGTTGTGGGGCAGAGGGAGTTCTGTGGGATAGAATGGGAACTATTGGGCAGTGTGTTCTCTGGGACAGAGCATGGTGCCTGGATTCCTTATGGGCTCTGTCGAGCGCTATGGGGCAGGCCCCCCCCCCTCCCCCGTACCCTCTTCCCCTCCTCCTCTTCCAGGAATTTTTTAGGGGAGACAGAAGGGGGCGGGGTGGGGCGGGGGAAAGCTCATAAAAGCCGTGGGGCAGCAGCAGGCTTGGTGTGGGGCAGGCGGAGGTGGGGAGATGGGGAGAGATGGGGAGCACATTGGGATCTACGGGGCAGCAGGGAGAAATGGGATGTGGGGATATGGGGAACTGTGGGTCACAAAGGGGGCTATGAGGTGCCCCTTAGGCATGTGGAGCTCTATGGGCCATGGATGTGAGGGATATGAGGTTATGGGCTATGAGGTGTGTGGAGACCTATGAGTAGTGGAATATGGGAGGATGTGGGAATCCATGGGACAAGGGGATATGGGGATCTGTGGGGCAGGGGGATGTGGGAGGATGTGGAAATCTACGGGGGAGGGGGATAGAAGGATCTATAGGGCGGGGGGATGTGGGGATCTATGAGGGAGGAGCTGTGGGTAACAGTCTTTCTCCCCCAGCACTGCAGATCTGTTCCTGTTTCCTCTGTCAAAGCCAGAGACTGAAGGTACAGGGTCGATGTGGGGTTGGGGGATACAATAGGGCAAAGGGCCACTATGGGGTATGGGAATGATATGAGGCAGGGGAGCGCTTTGGGGCAGGACAAGGCTCTATGGGGTGATATGAATGCTGTGGGGCAGAGGGGAGAGGCTGGGGGGAGTGGGGGGCATCACTTTGCTATGGGGTACAGTGCATCACTATGGAGCTCATACATTGCTATGGGGTGCTGCTCTTTCAATGTGGCCCTGTTTGTCAATGAGGCCCTGTGCATTGCTATGGGTCTCATGGATGTCTATGGGGCCCATACATTTCTATGGGGCACTATGCATATTTAAGGGGCTCATACAATGCTATGGGGCACTGTGGATTTCTGTGGGGTCCCTGCATTTCTGTTGGGCTCACACATGTCTATGGGTCACAGCTCATTTCTGTGGGTCTCACAGATATCTGTGGGACAGTCTGCATGTGGGGGGCTCATGCATGTCTGTGAGGCACCCCTTATCTCTATGGGGCCCATGCATTTCTATGGAGCCCATGTATCCCTATTGGTCACTGTGTCGCCATGATGATGTCACCATGATGCTGTCACCATGATGACATCACTGGCACCATACCCACAGATGGAGGCAGCGCTGGGTGTGGCTGCCCCCTTCCTGCGTGCGCCCGAGGGGTCTCGTCCAACCCCACCAGGTGACACTCGAGGGCTCTGCTTCGTGCCCCACCCCCAGCTTGAGTTTGTCCGTGGCCGCATCACTGCCCGGGCAGGGAATGGGGTCACCGTCACCACGGAGACAGGGGAGGTGAGAGATGGGATCGTGGGGGCAGGGGTTCATGAGGTGGGGTCAGTGGGGATCAATAGAGCTGGTCAATGGGATCAGTGCAAGTTGATTCAGTGTGGTCAGTGGAAGTCAATGGGGAGGGGTCAATGGAGGTGAGTCAGTGAGGGTCAGTGGGATTCAGCGGGGTGGGGTCAGTGAGGATCAATGGTAGTAAATGGGGTAAATGGAGTGGGGTCAGTGGGGTGGGGTCAATAGAGGGTGATGGAAGAGAAAGGGTTATTATGGGGGTTTGGGATGAAAAGGAGAGATTTGGGTAAAAGTTCAGCTTGGGTGATTTGGAGAAGAAAGCCATAATGGATTTGGGGTGGAAAGGATTGATTTGGGAGATTTGAAATTTAAAGACATAATGTTGAGATTCGGGGCAAAAAAAAAAAAAAAAAGGATTTGGTGGAGCTTAGGGTGGAAAAAACTATCTTAGAAGACACTTGAAATGGCAAAGATGATGTAGTGGAGTGAATAAAAAAATGTGATTTGGGGGGATACCTTAATGTGACAAAGCTGAATTTGTGGGGATTTGGGGCTGAAAAGAGGGAGTTTGATGAGATCTGGGGTGGAAAAGTTAGACTTGGGATTTTAACTTGAAAAAGTTGCATTTAGGGGATTCTTGGGATCTCTCTGCAGACCCTGACAGTGCCTGAGGCCGACGTGCACCCCCAAAACCCCCCAAAATTTGACCGCATTGAGGACATGGCCATGCTGACGTTCCTCCATGAGCCCGCCGTTCTCTACAATCTCAAGGAGCGCTATGCTTCCTGGATGATATATGTGAGCCTTCCCAGCAGCCCCTGTGGTGGACCCACAGCTGAGGGGGTGACCCCATAGCCTGTAGAGCAGCCCCAAATCTATAAGGTGGCCCCACAGCCTATAAAGATGCAGGAGTATTGTGGTTTCTCCATGAAGATCTGGGTGGTCACCTTGTGCCCATAGGATCTGAGGCACCCAGTATGTGGTGGTATTCCTCCAGAGTTCTTTGGTCACCTAGAACTGGGATGTCCTATCTCCAGTCCCATTGGGCCACCTAGAATAGGCACATCCCATCTCAAACACTTTGGACCACTTAGAACCAGTCCTATTGGGTCACCTCAAACTGTGATTTCCAGATCCCATTGAGCCACCTAGTACTGGGACAACCGATTTACAGACTACTTGAGATACCTAGAACCAAGATCTTAAGACCACCTAGAATTGGGATGTCACAGAATCATAGAATGGCCAGGTTGGAAGGGACCTCAAGGATCATGAATCTACAGCCCCCCTGCCACATGCAGCGCCACCAACCTCCACATTTAGTACTAAAGCAGGATGCCCAGGGCCCCATCCAATCTGGCCTTGAATACCTCTAGGGATTGGGGCATCCACAACCTCTCTGGGCCTGTTCCAGCACTTCACCACTCTCTCTGTAAAGAACTTTTCCCTGACATCCAGCCTAAATCTTTCCTGCCTCAACTTAAAACCATTCCCCCTTGTCCTGCTGTTATCTACCCTTTCAAAGAGTTGATTCCCCTCCTGTTTGTAGTCTCCCTTTAGGTACTGAAAGGCTGCAATGAGGTCACCCCGCAGCCTTCTTTTCTCCAGGCTGAACAAGCCCAACTCTCTCAGCCTGTCTTTGTAGGGGAAGTGCTCCAGTCCCCTGAATGTCCCATTTCAAGACCTCTTTGATACCTAGAACTGTGATTTCCAGATCCCATTAAGCCACATAGAACAGAGATGTCCCGTCTTTATTCCCCTTGTAGCAATTAAATGGAAATTTCAGGACCCTTTGTGTCGTCTAGAATTGGGCCATCCCATTTCCAGAGTCCTTGGATTACCTAGAACTGAGACATCAAGAACACAAGGCCATCTAGAATTGAGATGTCCTGTGTCTAGACCCTTTGGGACACCTACAAACAAAGTTTACAGGCCTGTTCTGTCAACCAGAACTGGAATGTCACATCCTTTCTCCCCTTGGAGCAACTAAAACCAAGATTTCCACGCCTTTTGGGCCACATAGAAATGGGACTTCCCATCTCAAGATCACTTGGGCATCTTAGAAGTGGAATGTTCCATCTTGAGATTCTTTGGTACACTTAGAAGCAAGATCTCAAGATCCCTTTGGCCATCTAAAACTGGGACAATCTATTTACAGACTGTGTGGGATACCTAGAACTGTGATGTCCTCTCTCCAGACCCATAGAGTCACCAATAACTCCTTCTAGTGCGATGACATTTCATGATCCTGTCCTATGTCCCCTTCTCCAGACCTACTCGGGGCTCTTTTGTGTCACTGTCAACCCATACAAGTGGCTTCCAGTCTACAATGCTGAGGTGGTAGCTGCCTACCGGGGCAAGAAGCGGACTGAGGTACCACCCCATATCTTCTCCATCTCGGATAATGCATACCAGAACATGCTGACAGGTAGGGACCTCAAACTAACAAATTTCATCACCAAAATTGGACCCAGAGCTAAAGCCTGGTCTTCATGTTAGTGGGTCTACCATCTCTTGCATCTTCTCCCTGCAGATCGTGAGAACCAGTCCATCCTCATCACGTAAGTCCCAGTCCTATTGTGCTGGAGGGGTGGGAGGGCAGCGCTGCACTATAGTGTCCCACACATCTCACCATTGCCCCATGGCTTCAGTGGAGAATCCGGAGCGGGGAAGACTGTTAACACAAAGAGGGTCATCCAATACTTTGCCAGCATTGCCGCCATTGGTGACCGCAAAAAGGAGGTAGCAAATAGCAGCAAGGTGGGTCCTCTGGCCATACTTCTTAGCATGCCACACTTGTGGAGCTGCTTGTTTTCTTCCACTGATCTCCACTGACCACCAGGGAACCCTGGAGGATCAAATCATCCAGGCCAACCCTGCCTTGGAGGCCTTTGGCAACGCCAAGACTGTCCGCAATGACAACTCTTCACGATTTGTGAGTGGTGGGCATGTTGGGTGGGATCTATGGCACAGGGTTGGGAATCTATGGGGCAGAGAAATCTCATGCTGCTGTTCTCATAGGGGAAGTTCATCCGAATCCACTTTGGGGCTACTGGGAAGTTGGCATCAGCCGATATAGAGACCTGTGAGTGGCTTTGGGGATGCATCTTTGAGCCATCATGCCAACCCTCCATCTGTCTTATCCATCTTCTCATCCCATCCACCTCAAAACTTTCTCTCCATCCTCCCCAGACCTCCTGGAGAAGTCCCGAGTCATCTTCCAGCTGAAGGCTGAGCGAAACTACCACATCTTCTACCAGATCCTCTCCAACAAGAAGCCTGAGCTTCTGGGTGAGTTGGGTCTTCTTCCATCCTCTCTTTTTCTACTCATTTTTTGAGGCAATTGAGGACCACGTGGGTTATTTTGTGTCTTTTTCCCTCATTCCTGCCCCACCACTGAGCAGAGATGCTGCTTATCACCAACAACCCTTATGACTACAGTTACGTCTCCCAAGGAGAGGTGACCGTGGCCTCCATCGATGACTCGGAAGAGCTGTTGGCAACCGACGTAAGCAGATGGAGGAGTCCTCAGATGGAGGAGACCATGGGTGGATGAATCAATGGATGAATGATTGGATCATCAGATGAAGAAAACCATGTGTTGTTGGGCCCTGAAATGGATGAACGATTCTTTAAATGGATGGTTGGATCTTTAAATGGATGAGTGCATGGATGGATGAGTCTGTGGTGGATGGATGAGTCTTTAGATGGATGAATGACATTTTAGATGGTTAAATAGGTCATGGGTAGATGAGACTGTCTAACAAATAAGAAGAGCGGGACAGACAGACACGCAGCTGGTGGCCACATGATGTCTTGCCCTCAGCACAGTGTGCTGGGGGGACATCAGGCCCTCTCTGATTCCCTCTGTTCACCCTACAGAGTGCTTTCGATGTCCTGGGCTTCACTGCAGAGGAGAAGGCTGGTGTTTACAAGCTGACGGGTGCCATCATGCACTTTGGCAATATGAAGTTCAAGCAAAAGCAACGAGAGGAGCAGGCGGAGCCAGACGGCACCGAAGGTTTGTGGGATGACATAGTTTGGGGTCCCCCAGCTCCCTCCAAGATGTGGAGGAGATGGGGCCTGACTCATGTTCTCTCCTCCTTGATGGGAAGATGCCGACAAGTCGGCTTACCTGATGGGGCTAAACTCAGCCGACCTCCTCAAGGGGCTGTGCCATCCCCGGGTGAAGGTGGGCAATGAGTATGTCACCAAGGGACAGAGCGTCCAGCAAGTCTACTACTCCATTGGGGCTCTGGCCAAGGCTGTCTATGAGAAAATGTTCAACTGGATGGTGGTCAGGATCAACAACTCACTGGAGACCAAACAGCCTCGTCAATACTTCATTGGTGTCCTGGATATTGCTGGCTTTGAGATCTTTGATGTGAGGCTGTGGGAGAGCACCATGGGTGCTTTTGGGTGTTGGGCTGATGCAGCTGGGCAGAGGATCGATGTCCTTAAGAGTCACATTGAACTTCGGTGGGAATGTGGTGCTGCTGGATGCTGGGTTTATCCCCACTGAGTGGTGACTTGACCTCTCCACTGGGCATTATATTGACATTGTTGGGTTTCCTGTTGACTTTGCTGGGTCTCCAATTCATTCTATTGATCCTGTGTGGTGTTATGTTAACTATAATGGGTCTGTAGTTAACTCCACTACTCCTACTGAGCATTTCATTGACCCCCTTGGGTTTTCTGGTGACCCCACTGTGTCTTCAATTGACTCAACTGACTCCATTCAGCCTTATGTTGACCCATTGGATCACACATTGGGTGTTACATTGACCACATTGACTGTCTTTTCTCTCCCCAGTTCAACAGCTTTGAGCAGCTCTGTATTAACTTCACCAATGAGAAGCTGCAGCAGTTCTTTAACCACCACATGTTTGTGCTGGAGCAGGAAGAGTACAAGAAGGAGGGCATTGAGTGGGAGTTCATTGATTTTGGCATGGACCTCCAGGCCTGCATTGATCTCATCGAGAAGGTACTGCCTCTCCCCGGGCATTTTGGGGTGCTTTTCTATTTGGAGCTTGCCAGGGACCTCAAAAGTGGTCACTTGGGTGGTGCTTGGTGTACTCTATGGCCAACGAGGTCCTCTCCTTGGCAGCCCATGGGGATCATGTCCATCCTGGAGGAGGAGTGCATGTTCCCCAAAGCTTCAGACATGACCTTCAAGGCCAAACTGTTTGACAACCACTTGGGCAAATCGGCCAATTTTGGGAAACCCAGGAATGTCAAAGGGAAGGCAGAAGCCCACTTCTCACTCATCCACTACGCGGGCACAGTGGACTACAATATCATCGGTTGGTTGGAGAAGAACAAGGATCCTCTCAATGAGACAGTGGTGGGGCTCTATCAGAAGTCAGCCCTCAAGCTATTGGCCAGTCTCTTCTCCAACTATGCTGGGGCAGATGCTGGTAAGAGGATGGATGGAGATGGTTGGACGATGGATGAGGAAGATCTATCTACTCCTGGCAGTTCTCTCCTTGCTTACCTTACCCCTTCTCCTTTCCCAAGGTGGTGACAGTGGAAAGGGGAAAGGAGCCAAGAAGAAAGGTTCCTCCTTCCAGACTGTCTCAGCCCTGCACCGGGTGAGTGCCCCATAGAAAGGACAGGCTAGGAGGCAGAGGGAAGACTACCTCACCCCAGGGCCTTCTTGCTCTTCTCCTCTGGCCCATTGGTTTCAGCCTCTTCTCACCTCCTCCAGGAGAACCTCAACAAGCTGATGGCCAACCTCAAGACAACCCATCCCCACTTTGTCCGCTGCCTCATCCCTAATGAGAGGAAGGAGCCGGGTGAGGGGGTGGAGACTAGAGAGGTGTGGCAGTAGGTGTGGCTAAAGGCTGACCTGACCCATTTTTACTCTCTATCTGACAGGTGTGATGGACAACCCCCTAGTGATGCACCAGCTCCGCTGCAATGGGGTGCTAGAGGGCATCCGCATCTGCCGCAAGGGTTTCCCCAACCGCATCCTCTATGGGGACTTCCGCCAACGGTGGAGACAGCATGACAAGGGTGTTGGGGATGTGGGGATGGGCTTTGAGCTCATTTTGGGTTCTCTCTTCCTGCCCTACCTAGATACCGCATCCTTAACCCCACAGCTATCCCTGAGGGACAATTCATTGACAGCCGCAAGGGTGCTGAGAAGCTCCTGGGGTCCCTTGACATTGACCATAACCAGTACAAATTTGGGCACACCAAGGTGAGGTCCATCCATACATCAAATCATCAGTCTGTCCTGGCAACCAACACTTCTATCTATCCAATCCAACCCAATATCCAACTCTTCCATTTAACCCTTCCATACTATCCAATGTCCAGCCCTTCAATCCAGTCTCCAACTCTTCCACATCTAACCCAACACAACCACTGACACTTCCATCCAACTCATTTGGCATTCTTTCCATCCAGCCTGTCCACCAACCCTTCCAGGCAGCTCTCCCATCCAATTCAATCTCCAGCCCTTCCATCCAACCCAATCCCACCCATTCCACCTGTCTCCTGCTCCATCCTCTTCTCAACCACCTCCTTCCTCTTCCAAGGTCTTCTTCAAGGCTGGGCTGCTGGGGCAGTTGGAGGAGATGCGGGATGAGCGCCTCTCCCTCATCATCACCCGCATCCAAGCTCAAGCCCGAGGCCAGCTCATGCGCATTGAGTTCAAGAAGATTCTGGAGCGCCGGTGAGATGGAGATAGCTCCTCCTACCAACGATGGAGCTCTCATGTGACCCAGCTCCATTATGTAGGGCTCGGGTGGTGGCATCATCTGAGTGTCCCCATCATAGGGATGCACTCTTGGTAATCCAGTGGAACATCCGGGCCTTCATGGGGGTGAAGAATTGGCCGTGGATGAAGCTCTACTTCAAGATCAAGCCCCTACTGAAGAGCGCTGAGACTGAGAAGGAGATGCAGGTGGGAGGACATCACAAAACCATCATGGTGTGGGCCACCAAGGACATGGTTAGGATAGTGCTAATGAGTGGTGGAACCATTTGCTATTGCTATTGGTCTCCTGTGCCCTGATTCAGACAATGAAGGAGGAATTTGGGCATCTCAAGGAAGCCTTGGAGAAGTCAGAGGCACGTCGGAAGGAACTGGAGGAGAAAATGGTTTCCATGCTGCAGGAGAAGAATGACCTCCAGTTGCAAGTGCAGGCTGTGCGTGATGGAAATGTCCCAACCCCACAGACTCCCTTCTCCCTTCCTTCCTGCTCCCACCAATTTGTCCCCTTCATAGGAACAAGACAATCTTGCTGATGCTGAGGAGCGCTGTGATCAGCTGATCAAGAACAAGATCCAGCTGGAGGCCAAAGTGAAGGAGATGACAGAGAGGCTAGAGGAAGAAGAAGAGATGAACGCTGAGCTGACAGCCAAGAAGAGGAAGCTTGAGGATGAGTGTTCAGAGCTTAAGAAGGACATTGATGACCTGGAGCTGTCTTTAGCTAAAGTGGAGAAGGAGAAGCATGCCACAGAGAACAAGGTGAAGTGGTTGGGGTGAGAAGACCCAGGGATGGTTGGGTTGGGTTGGTAAGTCCCAGGGTATTTCAGTTAGGTTGGATTGAGATGACTCAAAATTAGTTGGATTGGGTTGAGAATATGTAAGGAGAGTTGTGTTGAATTGGAAAAACCTAGACATTGTTGAGTTGCACTGAGAAGACCTAAGGGTAGTTTTATTGGGTTGAGAAGACTGAAGGGTGGCTGGGTTGGATTGAGAAGACCCAAAGGTTGTTGAGTTGGGTTGAGAAACTCCAAGAGGGGTTTGATTGGATTGAGAAGACCCAAGGGTGGCTGGGTTGGATTTGACCCAATTTGGTTTAGTTGCATTGAGATGAAATTTAAGTTGGTAGATTTGGGTTGAGAAGTACCAAGGGTTCTCCTGTATCAATTTAGATTCAGCTTGATTATGAGCAAGAACAGCCTCTTCCTGTCTCTGCCCTACCTTTGACATCATGATGGAGGCCTGATGTTTCTCACCATGCAGGTCAAGAACCTTACAGAGGAGATGGCTGGGTTGGACGAGAACATCACCAAGCTGACCAAAGAGAAGAAGACCCTGCAGGAGTCTCACCAGCAAGCCCTGGATGACCTGCAGGCTGAGGAAGACAAGGTCAACACTTTGGCGAAGGCCAAAGTGAAGCTGGAACAGCAAGTGGATGATGTGAGTCCTGTTTCTCCTGGTGGAAAACGTCCTTCTAGGGTGGGTTTTTTTGTCAGCTGATGGAGGTCTCTGCATTTTTTGCAGCTGGAGAGCTCACTGGAACAGGAGAAAAAGATACGGATGGACCTGGAACGAGCCAAGAGGAAGCTGGAAGGTGACTTGAAGCTAGCTCAGGAGAGTGTTATGGACCTGGAGAATGACAAGCAGCAGCTGGAGGAGAGGCTGAAAAAGTAGGGAACTGCCCACCACCTCTTCCATCCCCTTGTCTCTTACCCATAATCCTGCTCTTCTCTGAGAATCTGGGCCTATGATTGGTGTTTCTTCTCTTCCAGGAAAGACTTTGAACTCAACACACTCAACGCTCGAATTGAGGATGAACAAGCGATTGCTGCTCAGCTCCAGAAGAAGCTGAAAGAGCTTCAGGTCAGGCTGAGGGTGGAGTTGAAGAGTCTCCACTTGGTTGTGTTGAGCTCTGTTGGGTTGGGTTGAATTGGTTTGGATAGAGGTGTCTCCAGTTGGGTGGATTGGGTTGAAGAATCTCCACTGAGTTGGGTTGAGTTCAGTTGGATGGAGTTGGGTTGGGTTCAAGACTCTCCATCAGATTGGATTTGAAGAATATGCAACTGGTTGAGTTGGGTTGAAGAGTCTCCAACTGGCTGAGTGGAAGAGTTGGGCCAAGGGAAGCCCTTTGATGTTCTACCTGTCCATGGGCTACAGGCACGGATTGAGGAGCTGGAGGAAGAACTAGAGGCGGAGCGGACGGGCCGGGCTAAGGTGGAGAAGCTACGCTCAGAGCTGTTGCAGGAACTGGAGGAGACCAGTGAGCGGCTGGAGGAGGCAGGCGGTGCCACTTCAGTGCAGCTTGAGCTTAACAAGAAACGGGAAGCCGAATTCCAGAAGCTGCGGAGGGACCTGGAGGAGGCCACATTGCAGCATGAGGCCACGGCTGCCACACTGCGCAAGAAGCATGCCGACAGTGTGGCTGAGCTGAGTGAGCAGCTCGACAACCTGCAGCGTGTCAAGCAGAAACTGGAGAAGGAGAAGAGTGAGCTCAAGCTGGAGCTGGATGATGTCAGCTCCAACACGGAGCAGCTCATCAAGGCCAAGGTAAGAGACTGGGGCCTTCAACTGCAAAGATCAAGATGAGGCTAGCTCTTCTTCCACTCTTCCCACATTCCCTTGCATCTCCCTTCCCTTTCTTCCCCTAGGCCAACCTGGAGAAGATGTGCCGCACCATGGAGGACCAGATGAATGAGCACCGCAGCAAGTTGGAGGAGGCTCAGCGCACTGTCACTGACCTCAGCACCCAGCGAGCCAAGCTCCAGACAGAGAATAGTGAGTGCCTCATTCACTTCTCACCCACTGCTGGCCTTGGGGACTATGAGGTGGCTCTGGGGGTCTCTTCAGCAATGATCACCCCTCTTTGTACTCCTTAGGTGAGCTCTCAAGACAGCTGGAGGAGAAGGAAGCTTTCGTCAACCAGCTGATGCGAGGGAAACTCACCTACACTCAGCAGCTGGAGGATCTCAAGAGGCAGCTGGAGGAGGAGGCCAAGGTATGGCCTTGCTGGAGAGGTTGGTAGGGCTGGAGGTTTAAGGTGCAAGACACCACAATGTTAGGCGTGAGGAATGGGATGGGGGAGCTCAGTTGAGTTGGCTGGAGTCAAGGAGGTTGAGTTAGGTTGGGTTGAGTTTGTTTGGGTTCAGTTGGTCTAAGGAATACCTGATTGCTTTAAGCTGATGAACACCACCACTTAATGAGTTGGAGGACCTCAAGATGTCCCCAGTTAACATAGCTCCATCTTCTTGCCCCAGGCCAAGAATGCGTTGGCCCATGCCCTCCAGTCAGCCCAGCATGACTGCGACCTGCTGCGGGAGCAGTACGAGGAGGAGATGGAGGCCAAGGCTGAACTCCAGCGTGCTCTCTCCAAGGCCAACTCTGAGGTGGCCCAGTGGAGGACCAAGTACGAGACAGATGCCATCCAACGCACTGAGGAGCTGGAGGAGGCCAAGTGAGTCATCTTCCATGGATATAGAGGCTCTTCAAGGAGTCCAGAAAGGCCATGTGTGGGTTATGTCCATCCATCTGGTAGGAAGAAGCTGGCACAACGACTTCAGGAAGCTGAGGAGGCTGTGGAGGCGGTCAATGCTAAGTGCTCCTCCTTGGAGAAGACCAAGCACCGGCTGCAGAATGAGATTGAGGACTTGATGGCGGATGTAGAGAGGTCAAATGCCGCGGCTGCTGCTCTGGACAAGAAGCAGAGGAACTTTGACAAGGTCAGGGCACCAGAATATGGTAAGGGTTCAGAGGAGGAGAAGGTTCTCCACAGAGGAAGAGGTTTTAAGCAATGTCCTGCTGGTGTCCCCATAGATCTTGTCAGAATGGAAGCAGAAGTTTGAGGAGTCACAAACAGAGCTGGAAGCATCACAGAAGGAGGCTAGGTCCCTCAGCACTGAGCTCTTCAAGCTGAAGAATGCCTATGAGGAATCACTGGAACACCTGGAGACCTTCAAGAGGGAGAATAAGAACCTCCAAGGTGAGACCATGGCATCCACCTGGTCACTCCAATGTTATCCATCTATTTCGAGATGATCTGATGGATTCTCATCCATGCAGAGGAGATCTCGGACCTCACAGAGCAGCTGGGAGCCAGCCAAAAATCCATCCATGAGTTGGAGAAAGTCCGGAAGCAACTGGATGCCGAGAAGCTGGAGCTGCAAGCAGCACTGGAGGAGGCAGAGGTGAGCCAAACTCTATAACCACCTGCCCCATATATCTCCATGTGTCCTCCTGGTGTCCTCTATGGCCACCAGTGTTTTCCTGTCCTTCGTAGGCATCTCTCGAGCATGAGGAGGGGAAGATCCTGAGGGCCCAGCTAGAGTTTAATCAAGTAAAGGCTGACTATGAACGCAAGCTTGCTGAGAAGGATGAGGAGATGGAGCAAGCCAAACGCAACCACCTGCGGGTGGTGGACTCACTGCAGACCTCACTGGATGCTGAGACACGAAGTCGAAATGAAGCCCTGAGGCTGAAGAAGAAGATGGAGGGTGACCTCAATGAGATGGAGATCCAGCTGAGCCATGCCAACCGTATGGCAGCTGAGGCCCAGAAGCAAGTCAAGGCACTGCAGGGCTATCTCAAGGTACCTATTGGACTGCTGACCCATCAGGAATTAATGGGCCAAGATTGCCATTTGCACATTAGGTGTCACCAGTTTGCTATTGGACGCCAGTATGATTGGTCTTAGGTTGCCATTGGGTGACCATCAGCTGGCTGATGAGTGGCAGTAAGTGGCAATAGGGAAGTTATTGTGTGACCACTGAGTGCCCACTGAGTGGCTATTGGGTGCCTGTTAGATATTCATTTACTGGCTGATGGATGGCCATTAGATAGCTGTTGGCTGTCCATTGGGTGGAAACTAAGATGCCACTGGGTATCCACTAAGTGGCCTTTGAGTGGTTGCTAATGAGTGGACATTTGCTAGCTGATGGACAGCCATTGGTTGGAATTTGGCTTGCCCACTGGGTGGTCATTGGAAAGCTCAGTGTAGCTGATGGATGCCTGCTGAGTGCCTGTTAGGTAGCCATTGATTGCCTATTGGGTACTGTTGAGTGGCCATTGGGTGGCTATCCAGTGACCCTTGGGTAGCCATGGGAGGCCATTATATGCTTGTTTGGTTGCCAATGAGCGCCAACTGGGCATCTATTGTATGGCCAGTGGGTGATCACTGCATGGCAATTGGGTGGCCATTGGGTGATCCTTAGGTGGCCACTAGGTGGCACAAGATGGCTGTTGGGTGTGTGTTCACCCAATTCCCAGCTCCCTACTCATGCTCCTCCCACCACATTGCCTTGCAGGACACCCAATTACAGCTGGACGATGCTGTACGAGCTAATGAGGACCTGAAAGAGAACACTGCCATTGTGGAGCGGAGGAACAACCTCCTTCAGTCAGAACTGGAGGAGCTGCGGGCTATGGTGGAGCAGAGCGAGCGGGCTCGTAAATTGGCTGAGCAGGAACTGATTGAGGCCAGTGAGCGGGTCCAACTTCTCCACTCCCAGGTGAGGACACTTTGATGAAGACTCAGCCTTTTATCTCCTAAAATATCCCATTGGAGAGAGGCAAGAGATAGAGCATTAAGACATAGAACATTCCTCTGAAGGGCAGAAAGACCTAGAAAGTCCCATTGGAGAACAGCAGGTGACTTCCATGCTCCTCTATTCCAGAACACCAGCCTCATCAACCAGAAGAAGAAGATGGAGGCCGACATCTCCCAGCTGCAGACAGAGGTGGAAGAAGCCATCCAGGAGTGCCGGAATGCTGAGGAGAAAGCCAAGAAGGCCATCACTGATGTGAGTGTCATGATGGACTTGGTTGACAAACCAAGGACACCCTAAATCATTCTCCTAGCAATGGGGTCAGTGGACAAATGGGACTCCCCACATTCCTTCATCTCTCCATTCCCTCCTTGGTGTCTCATCTCCCTTGCCTAGGCGGCCATGATGGTGGAGGAGCTGAAGAAGGAGCAGGACACAAGTGCCCATTTGGAGAGGATGAAGAAGAACATGGAGCAGACTGTCAAGGACCTCCAGCTGAGGCTGGATGAGGCTGAGCAGCTGGCCCTCAAGGGAGGCAAGAAGCAGCTGCAGAAGTTGGAGGTTCGGGTGCGGGAGCTGGAGAATGAGCTGGAGGCCGAGCAGAAGCGCAATGCTGAGAGCATCAAGGGACTCCGCAAGTCAGAGCGGAGAGTCAAGGAGCTCAGCTACCAGGTGGGACATCACAGCAGAGCTGGTGGCCATAAAGGCATGGATGACCTGGAATGTCACCCACTCTATGTTCACATAGATGCTGCATGACCTGGAATGTGGTTGACCTTTTGGCTTTAGGGAAATGCATGCCCTACAGCATGGTTGACCTGGTAGCAATGGGGATGAGTGACCTAGAACATGGTTGACCTGTTTGCTGTAGGGGCAGGGATGATCTAAAGCATAGACCTGGTGGTCACAGGGACATGGGTAACCTAGAACATCGTGGCCAGTGGACACTGCTGCGTCTACATCCAATGACCTTCAAGCTTGTAGGGAGGACACACCCCTCACAAGAACACCTCTAAATAATCTCCACTTCTAACTGCCACCATGGTTACCTAAAGCATGGAGATCTATGAGGGGCTATGGGACCTGGACCAACCATCTCCCACCTTGGTGTTTCCCTCCCCCCAGACAGAGGAGGACCGGAAGAACATGGTGAGGCTGCAGGACCTGGTAGACAAGCTGCAGCTGAAAGTGAAGGCCTATAAGAGGCAGGCAGAGGAGGCGGTGAGTTCAGTGGGGAGGAGAACGGGAGGGAGAAATTAGGAAAAATGGAGAAATAGATGGAGAAGTTGGAAAAGCTAGAAAAAAATGATTGATGAATGTGGAACTGGCTGTAGAAAAGGTTGGAGAAATGGATGAATGGACAGATGTATTGGGTGGAGAACTAGGTGGAGAAACTGTAGAAATCAGAGAAATTAGATAAATTGATTGATGGATGGAGATATTGGAGGAGAATGCATGGAGAAATTAGAGAAGATGGATAAAATGGAGAAAATGTAGAAATGGAGAAAATGATTGATGGATGGAGATATTGGATGAAGATTCAGGTGGAAGAATTGGAGAAAGGGATGGTTGAGAAGATGGATGAATGGAAGAGTAGAAATAGATGGCTGGGTTGGGACAGAGAATGGGGAAGTGTGGATGGACAATATGATGCTGAGATGGCTGCAAGGATGATAGGACTGAGGGAGAATGAAGATGGATGGGTGGGAAAGAGTAGATGCTGGTAGACAGAAAAAGTCTGGGTGGATGGATGCATGGTGGATGGATTTTTGGACCAGTGGATGGATAGATGATGATAGATGATAAGCTGCCAAGATGGCCACTGCCTCACCCCACAGGAAGAGCAGGCCAACTCCAACCTGGCCAAGTTCCGCAAGGCGCAGCACGAGCTGGATGAGGCAGAGGAACGTGCTGACATGGCTGAATCCCAGGTTAACAAGCTGCGGGCACGGAGCCGTGACATTGGCGCCAAGGTGGGTTCCTGCCCCACATCCCTGCTGCAGCTTCACCCTATATCTGTCCCTCATGTGCCTCATCACCTTCCTCCATCTTCTCTCCCAATAGAAAGGACTCAATGAGGAATGAAAGCTCCAGATGCTCTGCCTTCCAGCCCCAACCTCTGACCAATTCCCTTTGGATCTCCCAACTCTCCTGCTTTCAGCCAATAAAAATTGTTTAGCAGCAGCAGCTGCATGTGTGGGACAGGGCTTGGTATGGGGTAGGGCTTAGTGTGGGTAGTGCAGTGGGGTTGGTGTGGGAGCCATGGGAGACAGAGGGTAGACAAGAGTGTGAGATGGCCACTCAGGCTATCCTACAATGCTGTGCATCTTGACTCATGGTGAGTGAACCTCAGTGCAACTGGCTGTGGGGCACTATGGGTTGCTACAGGACAGTATGTTTCCCTATGCACTTCTATAGGTCCCTCCAGGTTCCTGTGTGACAGTGTGTCATTATTGCTCCCATATGGGTCTCTGTTTGTTCCCTTTGGCTCCCCATGGGTCTCTATGGCTCCCTGTGGTTCGTACGTGGCTCTATTGGGTTCTATGACTCTCTGTGATGTTCTATGGGTCCTGTGGGTTCTGCCTCCGACGGACTGTGGGAACGGACCACCCCTGTGGCCCAACCCTAGGAATTTGTCACTTGCCAAGGACAAAGAGGGGACAAAGAGGCAGAGGCGGGGCCGGGTGATAAGGAGGTCAGAAATAGCCCCATCCTTGTCCCCCTGTCTGCAGCAGGAAGTGGTGGGCATGGTGTGTACTGTAGAGCCCCATAGGGGCTCACAGAACCCATAGCTTATAGGCAAAGCGGAAGCTTATGGGGCATAGCTTACAGGGCAAAGCTGTGGGGGTTATGGGACAGAGCTTACAGGACAGAGGTGGCTCTATTAGACACAATGGGAACTGTGGGGAAAACTGGGAAATACAGGGCAGAGTGTGGCATCTATGTGACACAATTTTATGTAGGTTTCTCCAAAAGTAATGCCTCCTGGGTATTTTCATGGAAACGACACCAGATACAAAGAGCACAATAACGCTATTTAATAAAGCAACATAGTCACCACCATTAGCCAATTTGCATAGATATGCTGATCCAGACATTCTTCATTTTGCGGCATGACAGCTCTGCACGGCTCTCTGGAACATGGCATGTCTGTCATGTTCCTGTCCCACTTCTGAAATGCACCCACCCCTCACTGTGCTCACAGCTGTTTGTTAGTTTCCATCAACATTCAGCAAGCATCAATGAATGTCAGTGGGTGCAATTTTTTCCTCACAGCGGAATTCAATTACACCCTTTGCTCCATCCACATTTTTGTGTCAGGCACCATTCTGACAGACTGCCCCTCTGCTGCCAGCTGTCACACAGCAACAACAAAAAATGGGGCACTGGTGGGAAGGTTCAACCTCTACTGCCATAGCTCAAGAGACCCAGTGGAAGGCCAGGATGCCAGCCAAGAGCACCAGAGGCCTCAGGCCAGAATTTAGGCTTTAGGGCTTAGAGGCTTAGCAGCCAAGAGGGAAGCTTCTAGGCATAGATTTCTACAGAGCTGGAGACTGGCCAAGAGGCCTAGAAATCTAGAGTACAGAAGGCCCAGAAGGAGGTATAGAGGCCTAAAATTTTAGAGGCCAAGGAGGCTTAGAGGCCTTAACGTGTAGAGCCTAAAGTCCTTGAGGCTTAAAGGAAGGCCTAGAGCTGAGATACCTATGGGCTGGACTGGAAGCACTGAGGTTTTGAGGCCCTGATGCACAGAAGGAGGCCAAAAAAGAGATCACGAGTCCATGAGTATTTAAGGTACAAAGGAAGGCTTAGAGGTGTAATGGAGAACATATCTGGAGGCACAGATGTCTGCAGGCTGTCCTAGAGGCTAGAGGTTGCCCAGGAGGCTTAGAGGCCTTAAGGTAAAACAGCCTGGAGAGAGGCCAAGAACCTGGCCAAGAAGCCTTGCAGCTTAGTAGTCTTGAGGCCAAACTGAGGCATGGAGGCCAAGAAAGAGGGAGTCTAGAAGACCAGAGGCCAAGAGGATCTGGGGGTTGAGTGCCCTCGAACCTTGAGGTCTGGACACCTACAGCCCAAGAAGCCTGAAGGCCTAAAGCTGGACTAGAGGTCTTGAGACAAAGGGGCCAAGAGAGCTGGAGGGAGGCCAAGGGGCATTCAGCAACCAAGGAAGGTGCAGAGGTGTATAGATTTAGACACCTATGGGAGGGCTTAGAGACAAGGAGGTCCAGAGGAAGGCCAAGATGGCTAGAGGACTAAAGGCTTCCCTCCTGGCCTGCAGGCCTCTAATGGTCTGGTGCTCTCACTGGTGGAGAAAAACAGACACAACTTTAGCTGTAGGGCTGGGGAGGTTGGGGAACACAGCCAGTGTCCTCCAGGCATGCAGCAGGACTGCTGGCTGCTCATGGCAGTGCTCCATACTCAGGATAACTGCTGGTGGCCTATGCTAATAGAAACAAGGGAAAAGGATGTCACGGCTTAGGAAAAACCTGTTTGGCAGTGCTCAGGCAGAGCACAAAACACACAAAATCCTCTGCCACAGTTTCTCAGCAAGGCCTGTGTAACAGAAAAAATGCTCTCAAAAACTGTGGTACAGCACTTTTTCCCTCATCAAATCTAAAAGAGTACTTCTGACCAACCATTGCCATCCAGTGCTTCTGACATGATTCCCCCTTCCCAGCTGACAGCCACCTCTGAAACCATGGTCTGAGACACTTCCTGCAGAGATCTCTGTGGTCAATCACGTACACAATGCTGCCCTACACTGAATGCACACTGAGTTGCCTGCAGAGTTCTACCACTGTCACGGTGCTCAGTGCAGCTGTTGCTGCCTCTGCCAAAAGCCCAGATGGGAATTCCTGCAGTGCAACAGCACTGCTGGACCAGGAGGCAAAAGGCAGATGCCAAAGCCAGGCAGTCCTGCCACCAGGTTTCCACACCACAGCTTTTCAGATCACATTTAAACAAAAGAAAAACATCAGATCCCTTCCCAAGACCTTGGCCACTTCCCCAAACTGCCGTTGGCTCCAATTAAACAGTAAAACAAATATTCATTCATACCAATTATTTCTCAATTGTACAAGTGTGTAATACTCTTTTGCAATTATCCAGTACTCTCCATGAAACAAATGCAGTGCAGATAAAGACTTTGCATTTCTTCTTCCCTTTCAGCTGGCAACAGATGAATACAAAGGAAAATGAATAGACAGTGGGAGCAATGGATGTGAGTCAGCCACCAAACTGCTGAGCACCGCCTGCTCTCAGACATTGCCTCACTCTGCCGTTCAGCATTCCTCAACACACAAGCGCTTCTAAAAACAAATTCTGACACCTCTTATGATTACATTTCTTTATGCCTGTGCCAAAAGGCTGCAGGAAACTGGCCTGTCAGCTCCCAGGAGCAGTCTGCTTTGGCATTGACAGAACAGATCTCTGTTTGGCTGTCCCCAGACTGTTTCTGGCAGCACTGCACAGAGCTGCATGCTGCTCCACCTCCTGCAGCACAGGGTGCAGCACAGCTCCTGGTGCACAGAGCTCCTGGCATGCAGGGCTGCTGCTCCCTGTGGGCAGGGGGCACAGCTCCATGGGATGAAGGTGTCCCACCCACCAGCCTATTGCCCGTGCACCTCACCCCACACACACCACAGCCCTGCACTGCAGGACATGGCTGGGCATTGGGCCCAGGCTGACATGGTCATGGGTCTGCACCATGGCACTGTCACTGCACAGGAGTTCCTTGTCTGTGGCATGGCCATTCTCAAAGCCCTCTTTACTTCTGTCTTTAACAAACTGGTTATCCTTGGGGTACTCAGCTTCTGAGCTGGAACACAGGAGTGGGAGCAGAGTAACTCCCCATGACTTGAGAGGAAAAAGTGCGTGACCTGCTGCCCCGTGCAGTGCTATGGGCTTAGGGCAGAATGGCTGGAAAAATGCATGGAAGAAAAGGAGCTGGAGGTGTGAGCTGATACCCACTGACCATGAGCCAGCAGCATGCCCAAGGGGCCAAGAAGGCCAATGGCATCCTGGCTTGTGTCAGCAGTAATGCAGCCAGCAGAGCAGGAGCTGACCGTTCCTCTGTGCCAGCCCTGATGAGGCCACACCTCAGTTCACTGCAAGAAAGACATGGAGGCCCTGGAGTGTGTCCAGAGAAGGAACAGAGCTGTGAGGGTTATAGAGCACACGTCTGATGGGGAGCAGCTGAGGGAGCTGGGATGGGTCAGTGTGGAGCAGAGGAGGCTCAGGGGAGATCTCACTGCTCCCTACAACTGCCTAAAAGGAGCTGGTGGGGAAGGGGGAATGGGACTCACCACCCTGAGTGAAGAATTTCCCCCTCACATCTAAGCTATGTCTTTCCTCTTTTAGTGGAGAGATCCCCTTGCCTGTCACCACCGCTGTCCTCTCCCCACACTTCAGCCTTACATTGCCACAGGGCCTCACAGAGAGGCTCTCCATCAGCTGCACAGCCACTGGAGGATGGTGGGCATCCAAAGGGAAACGCTGTAAGACATGCACCTGTACCCAGAGCTGTGTGAGAGGAAACAAACCAATCTGGCAGACACGTGGCAGGTAGATTATGGCCTGACAACTGCTTTATGGATGCTGCTTCCCTGGAGAAACAGAGAGATGGATGCTGTCAGCTCCCAGGGGACAGCCAGCAGAGGGCCTTTTTTTTTTTTTTTTTTTTTTTCCCCAAAACACTTATCTTTTCCCCCCAAAGGAAGTATTTTTCTCACAAAAATGTTTATTTCTCAGAACATACCATCTTCCCACAGCACACCACTTATCCCAAGACTGGTGGATACAATGGGAGGGGATACACTGGGGCCACCAAATGCAGCAGAAGGGCAGAAGAACTGGGGTGCAAAGAAAGCAGTGCAGAATTGAGGGAATGCTGACACAGGGGAGATTTAATGGGGGAGGGGGAGGGCAGAAAGGGAAGCTTTTGCAGTGCCTTAGAATATATAGAAGAGCCATCACATCAGTTATTTTTTTTCCAGTGACCATAATTAGCATATCCCCAACAGACACGCAATCTCACAGAAAGGTTATAATTTTTAAAATATACCAGGTTTTTAGAGGGTTGCCCACCACTGTCAGACAACTCCACAGATGGGAACAATTTTAGTAGGGTCACGTCTAGCTTTTCATTATTCTGGGGGACTCTCCATCACATACGATCCAGTTTGCAGCACAGATTCTCTCCAACGGATTAGCTCTGATAGCATCTCAGCGTTCTCTTAGGCTCCCATCCTTAAGCTCTCAACCCTATCATCACCATAATTAATTTCCAGACATTCACATTTCTTTCTTAACGTAGAGGGCCACACCATGGCCTTTCCTGCTTTGCCTATCTTTTTTTTCAAAAGTTGGTAACCATTCATCACAGCACTCCAACTGCATGAGTCCTCCCAGCACATTTCTGTGATGGCCACTACATAATAGCTTTCTGACAGCACGATGGCTTCCAGCTCCTTCTGTTTGTTACCTATGCTGCATGCATTAGTGTAAATGTACCTCAGCTGGGCCAACTTTTGAGTGGCAGAAGGCCTAACGCCTCTTGACCATATTCAGTTGTTTCCATAGTAACCAACCTCACACTAACTCTTGTGTTGATCGTGCAAAAAGGTGTGTGACTCTCCTCCTTCACCAGGACACAAGACTGTGGGATCTTACCAGCACATTCCTTTCCCACAAGAGCAGGCCTGTTACATACTGGCTCATTTCTAGTGACTCCAGTTTCACCCCCACACCTCTTCATACCTAGTTCAAAGCTCTATAAATGAACCCCCTTTGCCTTGCCCCCCACAGGGGGGGGTTGAGGACTCATTTTGGTTTGGGGCTGCCTAGAGGCATTGTTGGGATCTTGAGGAGGGTCCTGAAGTCTCTACCTTCCCCAACATCATCAGAGGCCTTAATGCTGTTATGACAAAGCCAGAGGCAGGGCTGTGGGGACAGGTGCAGCCTGGCAACGTCACGGGGCCCGTGTCCTGCTGTAGGGTGAGGTGGAGGCACAGCAGGACCTGCCCAAAGTACGCCCTGAATAGCTCCAGGAGGGCAATCCTGCCCTGCACAGGACCCCCCTGCCCCCCCCCCCCACTTTTTTCACACACTCGGGAACCCCAAAAAGATAACGGGGTCAACTACAGCCCCCTACAGACCCACAATTACCCCCATAAGCGGGGGGGCTCAGATCTGGGGGTACCTGAACCCCAACAGAAATCCAAAAAGGGGGAGAAGCCACGGCTGGAGGGACGCTAAGAGCCCCAAACCCCCAGGGTGAACGAAGGGACCTCAAAGAGCAGCGCCGCCAAGCATGGCGTTCCCAGCCCCACCGAGTGATGGAGGTGTTCCACAACGGCCGCGAGCTCCGGAGGTCCCTGAAAACAAAAGCACCGCATCGGGATATCCAAAAGATGGACCGAGAACCCCTACTCCAAACAGAGACGCCCTCGCGCCCGGTAGGGCCAACGGACCCCGGTCAAAAGACGCGGCACAAGCAACGGGAGAATGAAGGGGAAAAAAAACAACGCCGCCGGAAAGCAGCGCCGTTAACGACAACGCCGCCGGAAAGTGACGCCGTCTCCATGGCAACGCGGCTGGCAGCGGCCTTCCTGATTGGCTGATCCGAGAGCCGCCCCTCCTCCTTCCCCCGACGGCGCCGCAGGGCATGCCGGGAAGCGCGGTCCTTCCGCCGCCGCGCGGGGGTTGCCGGGAAGCGGTGCGGTTCTATGGCGGAGCCGGCGGTGAGCGGGGCGGGCGTTTGGGGTGCCGTGGGGCGGGATGGGGGGCTGGGGGCTGTAAGTCTGTAAGTTCCGCGGGGCCTCCGGGGTGGCTGTAGGAGGGCTGTAGGAGCTGCGAGGGGGCCGTAGAGGCGTGCGGGTGGGCACGGGGCTGTCCGTGGGGTCGCGGAGCTGTAGAGGTGGTAGCGATGTGTGGAGCTGCTGGGGTCCTGGGAGCCGTAGCGGGGCTGCAGGGTCCCATAGGTGATCCCGTAAGCTGTGCGGGTCCCACAGGCAGTCCCGAGAGCTTTAGGGGTGCTCGACGGGCGCTCTGGGAGTACGGTAAGCGATCCTCCAGGTGACCATCTGGGTTGTGCTGTGGGGTGCTGAGAAGCGTGGGTGGGGAGCGACGGAGTGGGAATAGGGGCCCTGTGTGCGAGGTGCAGAGATAGAGGGGTGCTGTGGCAGCGGTGCAGGCGTTGCTGGGAGCAGCAGGCGTGGCTGTGGGAGTGCTCCAGGGGGCCGGCGAGGCACGGAGAGGGTATGGGGTTCAGCAGGCGATCCTGGGAGCCGCAGGGGCGCTGTGGGGTTGTGCGGTGCTCACGGGATGTCTGGGGGTTATGGGTGCTACAGAGGTTCTATAGGGCTGTGTTTGACCCGGCTCCCCCTGTGCAGCCCCCCGGGGGGCCGCAGCCCCGCGCCCGGCGCCTGGCGGCACTGCTGAACCGCAGCCTGCGGGTGCGCATGTCGGATGGGCGCACGCTGGTGGGAGCCTTCCTCTGCACCGACCGCGACGCCAACATCATCCTCGGCTCTGCGCAGGAATTCCTCAAGGCTGCAGGTAGGGGGCCACGGTGGGAAATGGGGCCGCAGGGACAGTGGGGACTCGGGGGCTGATGGGGGTGAAGGGAGTGATGAAATGGGGGCAGCGATGGGGAGGGCGGTGGGGGTACCAAGGGCTATGGGAGCGGGACCACGGGGAACGGTGGGGATGGGGACGCAGCGGTGAGGCTGACACGGGGCTGCTGTCCCCTGCAGATGCGTTCCCGGGCAGCGAGCCACGTGTGCTGGGCTTGGCCATGGTGCCTGGGCACCACATCGTGTCCATTGAGGTGGAGCGCGACGCCGCTGCCGCCCTGTGCTCCTGACGGCCCCACCATGGGACGGAGCCCTGAGTGTTGTGCATCTCTCGTGTGCCCTAACTCGTGATGAACGCCAGCCATGCAAAATGACCACCGGAACTGTGGTCCCTGCAGCCCCAGATGAGCCCCCGTGGTGGTCACGCTGTCACCACGTGATGCCGTCATTCCAGTCCCCTGCAAAGCAGGACACAGATGCCCCTTCCTCCCCCAAACACTCCATTTTCAACCTGAAACAGAGTTGTGCAGGTTAATTTAATCTCAGGTACAAAATGTTTCAGTGGGAGAGAGGGAGTACACGGCAGTCCTGGTCCCTTCTAACTGCGATAAAATTCTGCGGCCAAGGGGGGTCAGGGAGGAACAGGAACAAGGGGGGGGTTACCTTCGAAGAGGGTCTGGGTCAGCCACAGGGTTCAGCACCGTGGCGGCGAGGGATGGGAGGGGGCTGCTGATGCGGCCATCCCCCCGTGTTGCGGTGACACTGAGACACAACCCCCCAACAAGTACACCCCAGGGACCTGCACTGGGAGTCGGGAACCCCAGAGCTGCCCTCCCCTCACAGTAAGGCACCCCCCCCTACAGCACTTGATATAAAGTTTTAAAAAAAGGTGCAAAAATGATCATTTACAAAATAAAGATCCCCAAAATGCCCCCCCGTGGGATAGTTTTTGGTTGAAAACAGATGGGTCTGTCAAAGCTCCCCCCACTTCTAAGGTCCCTCTTAATGCTTTCTGGGTGGGGATGGGGGCAGAGCCCTCTCCCAGAGCCTCCCTGTGTTGTGGGGGCAGCGAGACCCACTTCACACTGATGGGAGATGGGGGCACTGAGCCCTCCCCCTTCCATAAGATGAGGGACACTGGGGACCCTGCCCACAGTGGGGGATAACAAGAGCTTCTGTGATGAGTGGGAAGGGTTGGTGACTGATTTCTGTTGACAACAAAACGTCTGCGTGCTTATGAAGAGATAAAGTAACTTATTTATCACTTTATTTCGCTCTTCATTCAAATATTTGACTAAATCCTAAGTTCTGGAGCAGGTCAGACTGGGCCCGCATTAAGTAGACAACTACAGAATATTTTCCAGCAGATCATAATGTGTGAACCACAGAAATGGCTGTGGAAGGGCCGTGGGTGACCCTGCTGTTAGGAAGAGCATACCAGACTCCAATCAGAACACGAGAATCCATCTCTGTCCAAGTCCCAGATGCATGGCCAGCAGCCAGAAGGACTGACCACGTGTCTGCCGGGCAGCACTGCTGGTCAATTGAGAACGAATGTGTGGCTGAAGAATCTGATGCTGATCTGGTAAAAAGTCTGCTTACATGAGCCCGTGTTTAAGGACACAACCACAAACACAGGGTCGCCCCAGTGATCCCTGCCAGGGCCTGCAGATTGCACCTGCCATGTTAAGGCATCTCAAAAATGGTGTTGGGAAGTGACTGCTCTGCATTTCTGTGGTGTCTCCGGGGCTTGTCTGTGTTCCCTCTCTATCCATTACTGAGGTTTCTGCAGTGAAACCTGGCGCTGGTTTCCGTACCTACCTGTTTGTAAGTTGTTTTCAGATTCTCAGTATTACCCATTCCTACGAAAACAGATTGCTGTTCTGTACCTTGGAATGGAATATTCCTCTGTGTTGCAGTATCTGGGATTTGTACTTCAGCACAAAATGTGAAATGTGAGCAGCTCAGTTCCAGGAGCGTTCCAACGCTGCGCAATGAGCGCTGCCTCCAAATGCGAAGTGGTTCCTACTGTTCCAGAGACCAAGCACTTCAGAAATGATGTAGGTACCTTGTATACAGTTGGGCACCAAACCAAAAGTGGAGCCTTGTGTGGATTTCACCAGCTGGGATTTGGAGACTCCAAGAGCCTGGACTGAGGGTGCGCAAGGAATAAGCTTATAGGAAATGGGTGGGTGGGAGGGGGGTGGCGGAAATTAAATGTTAAGAGGGTGTTTGGAGATATCAGGTGATATTGGTGGGGACTGAAGGC